TTATAAATTACGGATTGACCCCATTAACTTAGTTTAAGAACAATTAAATCCGATTGTGATGTTGTCACCATAATATCATTTACTTCGTACATGTGGCATGTATTAACATATACTTCGTGTAGTTCCTAACACATTTTTATACATTGGATGGTTTCCACCATATTAGTGTAAACTTCGTGTAGCTGAGAAACTTTTTTCCAATATTATAAGACCAATCTCTAATGGTACTTTATAATTTTCTCCATATTTCATTCAGAAATAGTGTAATTTTATAATAGAGTTGGATTTTCTTCAATGGTTTAGTCCATAATAGAGTTACATTATAATATAGTGGGATATAGAAGAATATTACTTTTTTACTCTATATTTGGAGTAAAAAACATCATTTTATATTCCACTATATTATAGTGTGACTCTATTATACAGTAAATTATTGAAGATAAAATCTAACTTTATAATAGAGTTACACTATTTTAGAGTAAAAATTATAGAGTACCATTAGAGATGCCTTAGTCTGAACATTTGTTGGAAGAAGTCGACTTATGTCATTTGTTCAAAACCTGAAATTCCAAATGCTGAGAAATGATCTGAAGCTATCATTGTTATAGGAATCGTAAGAAGTTCACAACCAATTGAAACCAATTAATTTACTGTATATGCAAAAGTTTTTTTTTTTATAAAAGTATATGCAAAAGTTAGCTTCGGATCTTTCAAAATATCTTGAGTCTCAAAATTGATCATGTCTATTGGTCTCTACAAGACACATTTCCGAAGAAGACTTCCTACTAACAATAGCACTTGACGTTTGAAAGGCGAAGAATTTCTGGAAAACATGAATGTAATATCAACCTTCATATGTAATTTAAGTCTAGAACTACAAATATCTAAGAAGGGCGGCCCATGTAAAAGTCTATAACACATCTTAGAAGACCAGCACGTTAAATGAATACAATATTACCTAAGGGCATCCACATCAATGAACCCCCTCTTGGGGTTCACTGAATCATTTTTTTATTATTAAAAATTTTCTGTTTTATTTTTTATTTTTTATTTTTTAAAAAAAAAACAAAAAAAAGATCTAGACCAATCCCGAGCCGCCACGTGTTGAACCTCAGGAGAGAAGGGTTCACCGTGGTGAACTTTAGGAGAGAAATGTTCAAATGTTTTTATTATTTTATAATTTTTTTTCTTGATTTTCGTATGAACTCCCCCATGAACCTTCAATCACTACAAGAAAACAAAGCATTTACTAGGAAATTTTACTAGGAAAATTCTTCCTCGTAAATTTACTAAGCCTTTACTAGGATCTTACGAGGAAAGCAAATTTCCTCGTAAGCTCCTCGAAAACTTACGAGGAAATACTTTCCTCGTAAGACCTTAGTAAATTTACGAGGAGCTTACGAGGAAAAAGTATTTTCCTCGTAATGCCGTAGTAAACACTTTCCTCGTAAAGGGGTAGTAAAATATTACTACGAAATTAGGAGGAAATAGTTGCTTACTACGAAATTAGGAGGAAATAGATAGGAAATATCGAATTTAAATAAAACACATGTTTTGTACCTACTTTTCCTAGCAATTTCCTAGTAAATGCTCAGATTCAAAATTTTCTATA